GGGGGGGGGGGGGGGGGGGCGGGGGCGCCCAGCGGCGGGGGGGGGCGTGGGGCGGGCCCGCCTCGTGGCGGGGATGTCCGCCCGCCGCCGAGCCCGCTTGGTGCTGTGGGACATCAACACGCAGAGCAACGAGGAGACGGCGGGCATGGTGCGGCACATCTACCGGGAGATCTCCGACGAAGCTGTGGTCGCGGCTCAGAAAGGTAACGGAGATGGCTGAAGGCGGGTGGACCCTCCGGGGCTGAGCATCGGCGCGTGGGGACAGCCCCAGCTTCTCCAAGTCGGAAAGAAAAAGTGGGCATCAAGTGCTGCTTCCTTCAATGAAGGAAAATTGGAGTCCGTGGGTATCGTTGAGCCCTGGCCTGAGATACAGTGAAATAACGAGCAGGGAAGAAAATTGGGAGCTGTCTGGGAGCAGCAGTGACTGCCACAGTTGAAACTATTGCTAGATAGTGCTTGGAATAGGCATTTCCTGCTGTACCGAGATCAATTAACCTTCAGGACCAGTGCTGTATCAAAGGTGGTTTTCTTTGCTTAGAATAAAAATACAGTATGGTTGTGGTCCTGCACTAAGAGAGGAAAATCCAGGTGTTTTGCAGGAGGAGACATTTCCACAAGTCACTAGGAGGTTCAGTGAGTTGTGTTGCTGCTTTTCAGCCCTCTCCAGAGTGACTCGAGTGGAGTGACCTGCTCTTTTCTTAAGAGCAGCAGGCTTGAAAGTATTCAAAAGTTTTGGGGGTCGGGGGAGCAAGCATTGAAGGGTGTCCTTCAAACTGTGGCTCTTGGGGGAATATTCTCCATTCTTGCCATGCAAGAAGTTTAGGAATTTGGACCTTTTTTGTTTATCCAGAGACTTACATGCTAGAGGCAGATGCTACTATATATAGAATTTATAGCAGTGTTCTATTGAACTGGTAAGGAAGCCTCTTAATTTGTACAGTTGTATAGAACAACAGAGAGAGGGAGGGAAAATCAGAAATTGAGAAAATCAGAAATTGCCCAATTGATCAGTGATTCCAAAGTCACAGGACACATATATTTATAACAAGAATTTCCATGTCATTCTACTCCAAAATGACTTTGGCTGGTGAGATGCAGGATAAATAATTGAAAGTTTAAGGGTTCAAAACTTACTGCAAAATGATAATGGTGACAACAGAATTTTGTTTCTTTCATAATGGGAGCTAGACTTTTTTGATAGATTGTTACAGCTTAAGATATGGAAAGTTGACCACCCTTGCTATAAAATGAGCAAAATGTTATGTGCTTTTCTTGAGATAAGGATTGTAGGAGTTGCTTGAGGTAATAAATGGCATAATAATAACTTTGCACAATTATTTAAACAATTTTAAATAATGTTAAATCTATTTGGGAGTAAGCCTTAATTAGTGCAGTGGGACTTACTAATTAAGTTAAAGTAAATTAATGGAACTCAATAATGCTTGTTTCTGAACAAATATGAAAAAGCTAAGTCTGCATGTCCCCACTGAGTTTGGGGCTTCTCAGTTCCATTTTTTAAATCAGTATTGGTGCATTCCTTGGTCCTGTTACCTTCCATTTGGCATCAGTAGATCACTACTGAAGATTAGCTTTGTAGGGCTTGGTACTTCATTGTTTTGGTATGTAGTTGTCACACTATTTTTTGGAACAAGACTAACAAGAATCTTGTCAAACTGGGTAGATTAATAATTGCTTCTTATTTCCTGGTATGGAAACACTGAATATATATTTAATTAAACTCTTATTTGTCCGTCTCCTTTGCTTTTCTGGATTTCTGTAAGCAGCAGGGCATGGTGAAGAGGAAGTGCTACCTCCCTACAACTTACAAGTTCATACATATACTTGTGATGTGAGCAACAGAGAGAATGTGTACAAGACTGCTGAGAGAGTCTGCAAGGAGGTTGGTGAAGTCTCAGTCCTGGTGAACAACGCTGGTGTGGTTTCTGGGCACCATCTTCTGGAGTGTCCTGATGAGCTTATTGAGAGGACCATGATGGTTAATTGCCATGCACATTTCTGGGTAAATATACTTATTTCTAGTTGGGTGGCTGTCTGAGTCTGTTGCAGTAAACTTTGATATTCTGAAGATGAACAAGACCATTTGCTTATACTTATTTCATTTTTGTGTTTCCATTTCTGCTTTGTCCTTTCCTCTTAAAGTTGAATGAAGTTTAAAATTTGTAGCATTTTTTTTGCATAGGACTGTAGTTTTAAAATGGTTTTGCTTTAGACTTCTTGTGCCTTCTACATTTTTGCTGATTTTCCTATTCACTGAGTCTGATCCATAGAAAGTACTGTATATTGGTGTTTAGTTGAATACAGTAATTAGACATGTTTGTCACAACTAACTTCTGTCCTACAGGTTTCAGAGGGAGTTTGGAGTGATATAGACCTTCCAGTTCAGAGATACTATTATAGAAACATCAGTGAATTTAAATAACATTCACTTGGGAGTTCTGTTAGTTCTCCTTTTGAATTATATCATGCAGCTGGCTCTTTAGAAGTTGTAATATATCTAGTGTGTTATGACAATAAAAAAGGGCACTTCTTTTTGAACACACTTTTTGTTTATCTGGTTGGAACTGGCTGCAAGAAACTATTGCCTCAAATACATGAAGCTTCACTACCCTGACTATGATCATTGCTCAACAGAGTATTTTCTCTTCTGAGTAGTAGCAGCTGTCTGAAGTCCCAAGCAGAAGTACACTTTAGCCTTGTTTTCAATCACTGGGCTGGTGAATTTTCTATAGGGTATTTGTAGTCCACTTTCTGCTCTATTGCTACTTGAAGTAGACTTTGAATGACTGTTGCTTTCATCACTTGTACTACCATCCTGTATAGGTTTAGATGTAACTTAGTTCCAATGGGGCTTACTTCCCAGGTAAGTGTCTAAAGAGTACTAAGTAATGGAAATCTGTGGAGAGAAGGAAGCTGTTCCTTGGCCCCCTTTGCTTTCTTGGCAGTCTTAAGTCCTCTAATGTTGAGAATGCTCTTTTTAAGGTTTCTGTTGCTGACTGCAAACAAGTATCATTTTCTTGAATAAGTTTTTTTAAATGATTCACACACCATTGTATAGTATTCACCATCTCAGCACCTCATATAGTTTGTAACTCCTTGTACTGAGAATCTTAAGTATTTCCTGAGCATATCTTAAGAGAGAAGAGCAGACAAGTGGTTCATGACCCTTATGTCAAGCATACTCTTTAGATCCATACTGCATACTGTTGAGTGACTTGATCTGAGAGCCCATTTCAGCACACACTAGTTGCATAACTCAAGTTTGCATTTAGAATTTTACAAACAGAAAGTACTTAGAAGCTTTTTCTGCATGAAGGATAAATATCCAGCTGATACTCAGAAAGGCAGAAAAAGTACTAACTTCACAAATGTGGTTAGTGACATAATATGAAAATGAGAGGTTTTGGTAGTTTTGACATTCATGAAATCCTTATAAATATATGGGAGGATACTGGATCATCTAGTTGTTCTTCCTTTGGGCAACTAAATCAATTATTTACAAAATTGTGTGTTCTAAGGAATCATTTTAAAATTCCCAACTAATAGTAAAACATTTAAATGTAATCCTGTAAGAATGTATTAACAAATAAGCACCATTGTGTTTAGCAGAACTTACCTTTGAGTAATGTACATAGGATTATTGTAGCACCATCTTACGAATGTTTATCCTTACTTCAGGCTTTTTCTCTCTGCTCTGGAGCAGTGTTTTATTTGAAGCAGACTACACTAAAAATGAGTCCAGATCTAGTCATACAACTTTGTACAGTTTTAGTTAGCAACCACAGCCTCTGTATTTAAATGTTCACAACTTCTGTAGTTCAATGAAGATGTCTTTAGGAAGAAATTATTTTCTTATGTGGATACTTAGGCATCTCTTTGTTTTCCAATCCAAAGTAACAAGACTACATGAACAATTAAAATTTCAAAAGGAGTCTGAGCTATTAACATCTGCTACCGATGATCATAAATACACATGTAGTTTAGTATATTACTATTAGCAAGTTTTTATTGTGTGCATTGTGACAATGATCAGTCATCTAAAACCTTGAATTCCATGGCTGATCAAGCTACAGTCTTTATTCCTAAGAAGTTGGGTGATAGGGTCTTGCTTCCTTTCATCTACAAAAAATGCTACCTAGTGCAAAAGAGGTTTTGTGCAGATTTCTCCCCCTGTTCTGTACAAGTCCCCCAGAACTATTTTCGAGGGGAGAACAGCATAGGAGAGTAACTGCTTTTTCTGTTGATGAATGTCTTCCTTCCATAAGGGAGCCACAGTGGGACACAGGCCTTAGTGTCATTTTTTAGGTGCAGTGGTAGTTCATCATGAAGTGTTTTATTAAATATATGGGATTTTTATTTTTTAAAAAATGGTACTTAAACTTTTTAATCTACATTAGAATTCATAAAGGACCTGCAACTATTTATAAGCATATCATGCTGGAGAAAAAAGGTTCCAAATGTCTTTTGGGTCATGTTCGGAATCCACTGCATATAGCAACCCCATAAACTGCTCTTTAGAGCACATTATGTATTTAAAATGTGATGTTTGGTAATATATGTGTTTCATCTGCAAACAATAAAACAGCTCAGTCAATATATCTCTAGCAAAGGCACCGAAACTTCTAAATAACTTTTGCATCAGAACACCTGTGCGCCATATTAAATATATGTATTTGCTGTTTTTCATGCAAACATTTCTAGTCTGTTGAGCTTCATGAATTGGAACCCTGTCCACCTACTAAGATTACCCTTCCTTTATTATAACAGGAACAAGCAAAGATCTTTAAAACATAGTGCGGGGTAAGTGCTATTCTTGGGGAAATGTGGTTCCAAATAGGGCTGCTACTGAGTCTGACCTGCACAGTAACAATTGTAAGGAGGACAACATTGAGTTCATCTTAACTTTATACATACAGTAACAGTCCTTTCTAATAAAGATGATGCACATTAACATAGTTTTTACTACTGTCATAGTAGAAAATTATTTTGAATATCTTACTGTCTTGATGCCATATTACTAACTTGACCTTCTTATGTTTACAAAATTAGAATAAGCAGTGCACCATATGTTCACATTAGTTCTTTGTGATGTGGCTGAAGAGTATACCTAATTATCCTTTTGTTGTTATGGAGGTAGAATCATTCTGTTTACACTGTAGGTAGCCTGGCTAAAATCTAGCATAAGAGTTTGGAAGCTAAAATGTTGCTCTATTTATTGTGATGATGGCCTTAGAATCTGATTTGTCAAATTTTGTTTTAACTAATCTGCTTTAATCTCATATTAAATCTACCCATTATTTTTTTCAGAGGAACTTAGAGCTATTGGTTGCAATTATTGGCCAACATAATGTTTCCTACCTTCTCAACAGGGTTGGCAGTGAAAGTGTACAAGCAGTTTATGTGCTGTTTTATATGAAATTATCTGATCCTCTTCCTTCCATTATTTGCTTTACATATTCATCATGGTTAAGTCTACCTGGGTCATCTTGCACACTGGATTTGCAAGCATCCTTCCTGGTTACTGCTCTCCAGAATTAGTGTTGATATATATATATCCAACAACATTGGGATTGAAATGACTGGGGAAGTTCATGTAAGAGAGAAAAGGGGATGTGGGCCCCTGTAATTCTCCTGGTCTCCTAACCTGATGCTGTATAGGCATTAAGGCTAAGCTAAACATAGCTTTGAAGCATCATGTATATATCAACCTATATTTAGAATGTGTACATTGCTTCTTTATCCCTTCCAGAGGAAACTCAGATGATGCCAAGAAGGATTAATTTAAATAGTACTATATACTGTTCTGTATATATAGAAAAATCTCCTACAGTTTACTAAAGGCATGTGCTGAAGTCAGTGATAAATGGTGGTTCTACCTCTGTGCAAAAATCTAAATATAGACCAGTTGGCTTTTTTAACAGAGGCTTTTAAGTATGCCCTCAAGTATCTTGTAGATAATTGTCCTCACCTGTGCATTTTAAAAATGGCTGCAAGTAGGTGTCATCGAAGTTGTTTCAGTGTGTGTTTTTTCATCAACGTCAATCTTAACTCCAGTTTTTTAGATTATGAAATAAGCTCAGGGCAGCAAGCTTCTCCACAGATACATATCTTTATTGTATACATTGTTTTTGTGTACTTAATATCCAACCTCCTCATCAAATGCATTAATTGATCTTTGACTTAGCTTGAACTAAACCAAGTCTGTTAGTGCTACACTTCAAATCTAAGACTTGAAATATGCCCATTGAATAGAAATGGAAGACCATGAAAGCTGATGGTTGTTAAAAAATCTCTTTGAAGTTGATAGAAGTTGAAGTATTTTGATACTCCATTGTGTTCTTAGGTCGTTGAGCTTGTGCTGGGTACTTTAGATCAGTGATAAATAGTTGGAATGTAAAGCCTAAGCACTGATGCTGAGATCTAATTGTATACAACATCCATATATGAACTGAAAGAGATGTATATTTTTAGGAGTGACCTTGTTCATTGTTGGGATATCTGCTAAATGAAAGGTGGCTTTTTTGCATAGTTATAACTCATAATTCAAAACATTTTACACTTCTGCTCCCTATTTATATATGTAGGTTTGAAAAGCTTTTTTTCTGATTTTTCCATTGATCAGGCTCTATTTACAAAGGATTAGCTTCAGTTAACACAAATAGTATCTCTGGATCCCACTCTTGTAAAGCCACCTTTCAACTCGGCAGTGGTGCACACATGAAACTGCCTTAAGCTAAAAGAAATGAAACTTTCTATCTCACTTTTATCTATTGTGGTTGGCTATGACCTTCTAGATTCTTGAGCCCAAGCCTTCTTTCCAAAATTCTTTCTCTGGAGGTGCCAGAATTGAATCTTACATATTTTCACATAAGTGCAGTGTGAACATAACATAATAGTATCTCTTAGCACCAATTTCCTTATTTTTCAAATTTGTAAAGCTTCCCAATACCATAACAACTCTAGGCAGAATTCAACAGTAAAAACGGGTTAGAACAATTAAAA